CCCCCCCCCCCCCCCCGCCTTGCACACCAGGCACCCTCTGGTTGGTTAGGACTACAGTTCCCTTCATCCCCAACCAGAAGCTGCCCTAAGAGCCTTTCAAGTCGGGGGGGGGGCAGAGAAGGAGGTTGGCCATTCCTTGATTTTTTCTTAATATTCTCCCTTCCAAAAGTCTCCAGCACATAATTGTGGTTAAGGCAGAAGCTGACTGTGATTTATTTTTATTTTTTAAAAAAATTGGCAATGCCTTTTTCTTCTGTCTTCGTCCACTTTCATGTTATGCTTTCAAGTTAAACACTGATTGATTATCGCTGGATTCTTTGCCACGTTTTTAAAAATAATTTGCCTCCGCCAGGGACTCCAAAACATTTTGCTAGATTTTAATCTTTCGTTAGCAAGGCAGTAATGTTTCTTCGATAAATTACAGTATTTGATTAAAATATTACGGGTGAATTAATTGAATATACTCAGTAAGATGAGGACCGTGTAAACTTGATAATACAATATGGCCATTGATTTTTTTTAAAGGTATAACAGAGTACAGTACTTTAAAAAAGACCAGGGGATATTTCTTTTATAAACACGTGTCTCTCTTTTGAAAGTATTTTATTCAGAAGCTTTGCACATGCAGAATTTCAGCTCATCTCATGCAGTTTATTTAAAGTTTTTTAGGACAGGGGTAGGCAGCCTTGGCTCTTTTATGACTCGTGGGCTTCAACTCCCATGGCTGGCTCAGGAATTCTGGGATTTGAAGTCCATGAGTCATAAAAGAGCCAAGGTTGCCTACCCCTGTCTTAGGGGGCAGGTTTAGGTCCACTCAGAAGGTGATACGTTTTGATTAGCTTTTCCTTTTAATTTCCTTTTTTTCCTGCATTCTTTCTGGTTTCTTCTTTCTCCATCCTAAAGATAACCTTCATGTCTTTATATGGGATAAAGGCAGATCATCCTCCAAATGAAATTTCTGGGCAATATAGGTAGTCCTCAATTTACAACAGTTCGTTTTGTGACTGTTCAAAGTTACAACAGTAACAAAAAATGTGACTTAGGACCGTTTGTCACAGTTGCCAACTTTGCAGCATCCCCATGATCATGCGATCAAAACTCAGATGCTTGGCAGCTGGTTCATCTTTGTGACCGCTGCTGGGTCTCAAGATCACGCGTTCTCCTTTTGTGACCATCTGTCAAGCAAAGTCAACTGCTTTCACAACACTGTTAACTAACTTATCAACTGCAGTGATTCACTTAACAACTGTGGCAAGAAAAGTTGTAAAAAAAAACTTAACAAATGTCTCACTTAACAACAAAACATTTGGGCTCAATTGTGGTGGTAGGTTGAGGACTATTTGGAGTGTGTAATAAAGAGCATGGACTGACTTTTTCTAGGATGTTTGTTTTTTTTCAATTTCCAAGTCCAGTTAAGACCCTGAGATCTTATGATTGTTTCTCATTCAAGCACAATCTGGACTTTCCGAGATCAGTCAAGGATGGTTTAAACCAAGAATGGTTTAAGAATTGACGCCTGTATAGAAGTAAAATCTCTTTTTTTCTCTCCTCCCATTCAATCCAATTCTCAGAGACTACCTGGACAAATCCCCAAAGTTTGCTTGCCAGGTTTTTTCAGAGGTAGTTTGCCATTGCCTCTTTTCTAGGGCTGAGAGAAAGTGACTGGCCCAAGGTCACCCCGCTGGCTTAGTGCCTAAGACAGGACTAGAACTCAGGGCTTCTATCTTGATGCCTTAACCACTGCACAAACTGACTTTACGAAGGTCTCTTTTAAAATTGAGCGTAATCCTATGGATGTATCCTGTAGTTTTCTGGGCAGTCATAGAGAAGTGGGTTGCAGTTGTGTTCTTCCAGGATGTGTTTGGGATTTGCCAATGTACTCCCGACCCTGGGATTTCCGAGTGGTCTCCCATCTAAGTCCTGGCTAGTTCTTGAACCTGCAGCCACCTGCTGTGGCTAAAATGGACCAACGCTTTGCGGTTTCTCCATAAGGTGACGGACGTCTCAGTGCTGAAACTTGAATGGTGTTTTTCTGCTTTCTCCAAAAATAGACCCCCTCATGTTCTTCTTCCTTCCAGATGAAGCTGCTTCTGCTGCTTGCCTTTCTGGGGGTCTTCTCTTCCATCCACTGTGAGGAAGGGGCCAGGCTTCTGGCCTCCAAGGCTCTGCTGAACAGATACGCAGTGGAGGGCCGAGATCTCACTCTGCAGTACAACATCTACAATGTTGGTTCCAGGTAATTCTTCTTCTTCTTGTGCCATATCTGTTATCGGACGATCATGTTGGCGATCCTGTTTTTATCAGCAGCCACACAAAAAAGTGCTGCTGAGTTTTGTCCAAACCAGTCCCTTAGATTTTGAAGCCATAATGTTCTTCTCCAGCCTGGACCTCGTTTGCCTTCCATCTTTCCCTGGAGGATTAAATGGAGTATGCCGTATTTTTCTGGGTGTCGCATCACATGTCCAAAATATTCTAATTTTTGTTTTTTTAATTACGTTGATGATTTCTCTGGGCTTTCCCAGGCGGCTTATCGCTTCCTCATTTCTGATCTTGTCAATTCAGCTTCTACGTAACAGCCACCTGTAAAATCCACATTTCAAATGCTTCTAGTCTCTTCAGGTGGCCTTCTCCTCAGAGACCAACTCTCTACTACTCCATAGAGCAGGATAGATAATTCTGGAGGAGTGAAATGGGTGTCGCCACTTGCTTTTCTGGGAACACTGCAATTCCCCAAGGGCTGCGGATAGCTGGGCTGCACGTATGGGCTACTTTAAAGACGTAACTATATTTCACAATGCAGGTAGTCCTCGCCTTACGAACAGTCACTTAGCGACTGTTCAAAATTACAACAAGCCCCCCCCAAAGGTACTAACAATCCAGTTCTGAAGTTCCAATAGCTGCCACCCCCAAGACCCCACAATCACATGGCATTCAGCCCGGGTTTTTGGCCGCTTGCAACAACCCAGTTTATAACTAGTCCAGGGGTAGGCAACCTTGGCTCTTTTATGACTCGTGGACTTCAACTCCCAGAATTCCTGAGCCAGCATGGTTCAGCATGGAAACTTCTCCATTTCTCCTCAGTGTGGCTGGCTCAGGAATTCTGGGAGTTGAAGTCCACCAGTCATAAAAGAGCCAAGGTGGCCTACCCCTGGTCTAGGAGGCTCACCGTTTAGAACAGGAGGATTTAGGACAGGGGTAGGCAACCTTGGCTCTTTTATGACTCGTGGACTTCAACTCCCAGAATTCCTGAGCCAGCATGGCTCAGCTTGGAAACCTCTCCCTTTCCCCTCAGCATGGCTGGCTCAGGAATTCTGGGAGTTGAAGTCCACATAAACACGACCCACAGCAATAGCCCAAAGCACCAATTCCAGTAGAGAGAAGTTCCCTGAAGATGGGCTTAAGGAACGGTCCAAAAGCTTGGAAGATTAAATCTCTGGTCTTGGGGAACCGACCCAGATTCGACTTTTATAACTAGTCTGCTCAGAACCAGCATTATTTTAGATTTTGGGCAAAAATGCCCCATAGCCAGTAATGGGTTCACTTAACCATCGCAGCGTTCAGTTTACGACAGCTGCGTTTGCCACAGAAACGTTCGTCAAATCAGGTCGGTCACATGGTGATCTGCTTTACGGCCGTCACGACTTACGGCCGCAATTGGAAGACCTCCATTATGGTCATAAGTCGAGGACTCCCTCCACTGCTTTGCACACTTAATTCATCAAGTCCCAGTAAGTGTTTTGGGATGAAAACTCCGTTTGGTCTTGAAGAAATAAAGAGGGGCAGCGCAGGTTGCAGCGTCCGCCCTAACTTCACCTTCTCATTGTCAGCTCATGAAATACAGGTAGTCCTCGACTTACGACAGTTCATTTAGCGACCGAAGTTACGCCACTGAAAAAAGTGACTTAGGACCATTTTTCACACTTACGACCGTTGCAGCATCCTCATGGTCACGTGCTCAGAATTCAGCCGCTTGACAACTGACTCGTATTTATGACCGTGGCAACGTCCAAGGGTCACGTGATCCCCTTTTGCGACCATCTGACAAGCAAAGCCCATGGGGGAAGCCGGATTCGCTTAACGACCGTGTGACTCGCTTAGCAACTGAAGTGATTCACTTCGCAATTTACGGCAAGAAAGGCCGTAAAACGGGGCCAAATTCACTTTAACAACTGTCTCACTTAGCAACAGAAATGTTGAGTTCAATTTTGTGGTCATAAGTCAAGGACTGGATGTAAGGCTTTGTTCCTGTTGTTCCCTCTTTCTCTGCTGGGCTGTGTAGCGCTGCCTTAGAAGTTGAATTGTCGGACGATTCCTTCCCTCCTGGAGATTTTGGCATCGTCTCCGGGATGCTCAACGTGAAGTGGGACAGAATCGCACCGTATCCTTTATCAAAGGGCCTTGATCTGATTGATGGAATTGCATTTATTTGAATCTCTTTGGATGACATCTGACTCTGGGTGGTTTGTAAAAAAACAGCCAAATATACGAGAGGCACCACGTAGTTCAGGGAGGGTGTGCAACGCCCAAGAGGTGCTGTGCAGGTTGGGGTGGGTGTGGGGATGTGCTGGGGGCGCAATCAGGGAGGGTGTAAGGGGGTGCTTGAGAGGCCCCACCCGCCCAGACAGAAAGGTGCATGAGAGGTGCCACACAGGATGGGTAGGGTGTGCAAGTTGATTTATATTTGAATGGGACATAATTTTAAGCATGATAGACTCGTGAGGCCGGCGTGCTGTGCAATTAGTTCCCAGGGTGTCATATGTTGGTGGGGTTGTAGTCACTGTGAGTTGTGGTGGGGGGGGGCACGGAGGGAGGCTCAGTCAATTTCACTGTATACATGAAATGGTATAGGGTTTCCTATCTGAGCAGGGGGTTGGACTAGATGACCTCCAAGGTCCCTTCCA